ATTAAAATTCACGCACAATAATATGCCTCGACGGGGAGTCGAACCCCGGTCCACGAATTTCTGGTCCGCTGCTCTACCACTGAGCTACCGAGGGCTGACGATTAGGTGCGCAAATTTTAACACATGTCTTCTGCTTGGTGCGCGACGTGTTGCCAATAAGCTCACAGTACCTGTCCTGATGTTGCATATTTTCCAAGTTAGACAAAGAAATACATAAACAGGGATGAAAGATGTTACACAAAACGCAGCAAGAACAGGTTATCTGATTCAAAATGTTTTGCTATCACACGCCCCAGAATACATACTCATGCATGAGCATGATCATTACTGTACTCAATCTGTTCTCAATACAGGAACAGCTTCTCGCATAACCGAGAAATATACGTATTATTGTTAGTATTAAAAAAGGAGGTTCATAGGTCTTCTGACGAAAAGATCTAGGCCTTTTAGTCTAGACCGACCTTGAATCTTTGAATGAAGTTAAAAATTGTCAAGAAGGGGCATCCAACATGTGAGACTCCTGAGACCTGCAGTCAGGCGATTCGACTCGTCGATTTTTCCACAGCTTTTTGGCATATAGATGTCCACATGTGGAATACGCAATATAGGAATACCAGCCATGGCTGAGGAGAGATCTCACCGCTTTAGAGACACCCCAACACCAAACAGCCAAGAATTCTAAGGTTTGTATAATTTGTATAAACGAAGGATTCTAACGCTCGTAGTCTTCCGCAGACAACACCGGCGTTTGCATGGAGATGTTATTTTGAATTAACAGACTTTGGGAGACCACAGACACACGTGCTGCCATTTGCTACAGCTCAGTCACAACAGTAATAAGAGAGGTCATCTCAAGCTGGCAGAGCAGAATTTGTTTGAAATGCGTTGGAATTTCTTTCGCGTACACATTTGAAAAGTGTGGTATGCCCTACCGGAATCTGTCATCCGTGCTCCCACGCTGGTAAGGCTCAATAACCGGGCCTCCATTTCTCTGCACCATCTCACTTGACTCATTATCCACGAATAAACGCAAGGGTCCGGTCAACACTAAGAATACGTTCTACTTTTCACTTCCTGTAGTGTCAACCAGGAGACGGCGCGATATTTACCAACGTCGGGTTAACCGTCATTCCTCAGGAATGTAGTGACCTGGAGATTCCCCCGTATGACTGTGTAAACTATCCTAAAATACCTTAAAATTATAGCTTCCTTATGTATTAGGGAATTAGGCGGTTTGCCTGTTGGAACGTTGTTCCCGTTTGTTTGAAACACGAATACGATCTCCGCCTTTGGCGCGCGACTCGACTGCGAACGACGCTCCGTCCACGCACTCGACGCCCAACTACATCCTCCCTAACTAGCTCTCTTCTGGTGCCCTATTTTTAGCATTAGCTAACTCTCCTCCCGTCCAATAAACTTTTCCCTAGCTTAATTTGTGTGTTCTACCCACTGGCTTTTGCTTGGCCATCTAGTTTTGTACCGAATATATAGCGCACGATCATTGCGCTATAATTTGTGATCACGAAGTGACTCGAAAACGCAACCTTCAAATCTGGAGTCAGACTTGCTACAACTGCTCCACGGAGTCGACAGACCGCGGTCCGCAATTCGAATCTTCGACCTTTAACGATCTCCTTAAACTAACTGAATGCCGACGCATTCGCACGACCGCCTATCATCCTCAAGATAACGGCATGGTGGACCGTTTCCACCGACAGTTGAAAGCCTCAATTAGCGCAGCCAATGCGCTGAGTTGGACTGAGGTACTGCCTATGATCCTCCTTGGGATCCGATCAGCCCTAAAGGCCGATCCACGTACCTCTAGCGCTGAGTTAGTATATGGACAATCACTGCTCACATGTTGCTCGTTTTTCCGAGCTTGGTTAAGAGATCGCATACGTTTCACCACCATGCGAGGTGGCATCTTCAGTGCGGTAGTAGGCAGTGCATAATGCTGCTTATTGAAGTGTCAGTCCGTCATCCACGGGCAGGTGACTTTTGAAGGTGGCGATTACGATTTGCGCCACGTGGCTGTGCCCAACGCTCTAAACGTTTTGACAAATTGTGAATAGGCTGTCCACTCTCGTCGCGTATGGTTTCACTAACACCAGCTCTCCTGCTGCCCATTTACCGTATCAGACGAAATAACTTTCGATGGTTACAAAGGGCAGCGGCTACTACCATCTCTGACGCACGAAAAGACCACCAAGATTCGCGGTCTCTCTTCAGACTAGCACGGAATTTTGCCTGCAGTTCTTTGCGAGTTTCATTGTGTTCGCTTTCAGCCGGAATATGCCAGCGAACATTGATAAGTTCCAGAGAACGCGAAGAGATCCAGTGTCCGTGTTGGCGATTAGACTTACCAAATGAGGATTTGCCTGCTGCTAGTAAGGTCTGGTGAACTTGCGACCTGTGTCCTTCAATTGTCTCCAGTGAGCGCTTACTCCACTCGCATATCAGCGTACTTTGATAGGCATTCTGAACAGATGGCTTTGTCAGTTGGCTGGTGTCAATGCGCTCACAGCGTCGTCGTAGGCGTCCGTCAAAACGCATCCGCATGTCAGCACATAGAATTACACGGTCGGTGTCCACACATTTGTTACAAATCGAGCGACAGTTCTGGACGCAGCCTCTCCAGCGGTAACTGATTGCCCTGTGATCGCATTGCCTTCATAGCTGGCTCGAGGTTGGTGGGCGCTAAGTCACTCTCTGGCGAGTGCTGTGTCGGAAGTTAGTGATCGCAAGAAATAAGCGAGCATCTTCACACAAATGAAGTAACCGCTCACCGTTATCATTACGGGAGCCTACACCGTGCTGACCGCCCAGATGCATTTCATCAATGGACAGCATTCCAACTTGTGCGTGCAGATCCGGCCCAACACTACAGTGTCCGTGCTTCTTCTGTGGCAAAATAGCTCGTTCAGTTGGCGGTAGAAGTCATCCTTTACCGAGTCATCGCTACAGGTTGTGGGCGCGAAGGCAGCGATGACATATATAGACACCTAACAGTCCCGCGCAAGTTCGAAGCTTTGAACGAGTCAGCCAATCGGACCACACACATCCGGCTACTGATTGGAATCCAATCAACCAGAGCAGCTTCAGACCGGGGACTCAGGGCAATACCAACACCGGCTTGGCCGGCGCTCGAAGCTGCATCGTCACCGGATAGGCGCAATGAGAAAGTACTGCTAGTGTCATCTAAAGGGGATCGCAGAGTGAGCACAGAGCTCGAGTCTTGCAGGCGGGTCTCCGATAAGTAGCAGATATCGATCGAGAGTGTCTCTAATGTTCGGGCAAGTGCCGTCTGGTGACCGATCTGTAGCAATGTGCGTGCATTGAGGGATGTCAATCTGAAAGAGGATCGAGGGCTCCAAATGGAAGCCGATGAACAGGAGCAGAACGCTTGGTTGGACATGGGGTTGTCGACAGGACAAGAATGACGCGCCGCGTTCACATATGAGTTGAAACTAGAAGGTAAAAGCCAAGCAAAGCAAGGTAGGGTAGGTCCAAGAATCCGGGGGGTTGAAAACTGGGGGGATATAAGTGAAGTGGAACGGGACCATAAGGTAGAAAAAGCGTAAGAGGGTGAATAAGAAGACGGGAAGGCCTGAGCAGTAGCATCCAAACCCCTACACACACTGTTCGATGCAGCAGATGGGACAACGTTGAGTATTCTCTGCGGTGGCCAGAGCATCAGGAGACTGTTTGAAGAGAAATTCATTGTATTGCGTGGGCAGGATACTGTCAGGTTGCCCAGGCCTAGACAGGAGAACGATTAGGGTTCTCAACCAAAGACTTTGGTTCAAAAACCTGACCGCAAGGCAGTGGGTTAGGCGTTGGCCTACAAGGAGTCTGTTATAAGGAATAAAGTGCTACCCTCATTCCAATCCCCAACCTGGAGGACCAGAAGGCTGAGTTTGTCTGGCCTCTAAGCATTGACCAATCTGGTAGGAGTGGCTCTGAATGTGCAAAAAGTAGCACCACCCAGCATAGCTCAATGGATCGCTGAGGCACACAAACCATCGCACCACGGTAAGGTCCAGCCTCATTGCGATGGCCCTGAACCCACTATCGTATGGCTAAAAAGTAGACAATCGGAGGAGCAAAACCGCAAGGCTGAAATAACCTGCGCACTCGAATTGAAGCATGACGAAAGCAGTAAAGGCAATGGCACGACATCACAGAGCTCTATGACATGCAAAATGTCATGGCTTTTGATGTCAGCTGTCTGGTTGCTTCCACAAACTACCAAGACAGCGGGCAGAAAATGTTGAAAGTTACCTTGGGTGCACCCGAAATGGTATCAGTGGCGATCCATGCGTAGCATGACAACAGGAAACTTGAGCCACCAGAAGTACGTTACCATTCCTTCAATTAGTACAGACCGCAGTTACAGAGGAGTCAGTCTCAGTCGTTCCTATCTAAAATCAGCCAACCGCACAAACACCCGTTACAAAAAATTCAGCACACTGGCACTATTTGTTCCGGTCAAATGCAGCGAACCGAGCTCCTAATACGTCAACAAATAGAATGCTGCTACACTAGCGCCCAAGGGTTGCATTCTAAGCTCTCGGAACTGCGCCACCGTCATGAAACAACAACTTGGGACATCATAGCAGTTACTGAAACTTGGCTCTCAATACATACTTAATCCGGGGAGTGAACTCAGTAAAATGCCAGTCATTCAGAATGATCGTCCATCTCGCGGTGGCGGTGTTGCCATCTATTATCGAGATTACTTAATGTGATGCCCTTACCGAACTTTCCCCTGTTTGTCTCGCCCAGCACCATTATATGACTCACCAGGCTCCTATGGCTGGGCCACGTGTTGGGCATGCCAGCACACCGACTCCAGTGACATGCATTGTTTGCGCGCCGGGGGTGCGTTTGGAAGAAGAGCACGGGCGGCTAAGCGATGACTTGGTCGAGAGAAATGAAAACAGAAGAGTAGTAGGGGGAGTTGAATGATATAGGTAGAAATTCGTCACATATAGACTCACTCAGACAGCCGACGCACGTCCGGAAAAGCACCGTACGAGCGTTCCATTCTTTAGGGAATCATCAGCAGTGCGCATTCCATCGGACCCTTGGTAGGGATCGAACCCGCAACTCGACTGTTGCCAGTCTGTGGTTGAGACCATTGAGCTACGGGAGACGGCAATGACCATCGTGAATAAGTTACTAGATGTAATGGAGTGCCGCACACTATCCACTGACGTACACGTTACTGCCGTGCACAGGACAGGGTAGCCCCCTCACCAAGAGACGAGTTTACCAAATTTAAGCTGCAAATTAACTTATGGCAATATAAGCAGTTTGGTCCGTGTAATGATTACAGAACAGTAGTAGGGGGAGTTGAATGGTGTAGAAACGAAAACACTCACTTCGAAACTGGCCTCGGTTGGTGCCTCCCGACTGCGTGGCTAGGGTCCTAAGGACGGTGAACACGTTTGTTTGGACACACTTGCTGATATGACGAAGAGCCAGCCCTAATGACGTTTGTGTTGTGAGTTACTTTGTCCATCCAACCCTCCCTTTAGGGTCACCCTCCAATCCCGATCTCGTACAAAATGCAACATATGATCGTTAACATATATTTTTTGCAGTGTAATTTGTACAGCTTGTAGTGTAATTTTTCACTCTCTCAAACTTCTGTATTGCGGCACATTAGCTAAAGTGTGTTTCTCACCCTCAGCTAACGTGTACTTATGATTATTTCGATGTACTCATGAGTAGGGGATTTTTGATGTAATTAAGTGAGGTTCTTCGCAGTCAGTTTCCAAATCACATAGTCGTCCACATGCCCGGAAAAGCACTAGACTGCAGTTTCAGCCTGTTGGGCATCATCAGTAGTGCGCATCCATCGGATCCATCAGGATTCGAACCCATGACCACCAGCGGATTGAACCGCCAGTCAGCAGCTTATGCCACTGGGCCACGGGGGACAGCTTCGGACCGTCGTGATTTACAAGCTAACTGCGATATAGCGCGTCTTATCCTCCACTGCCATGCAAGTTACGAACGTTGCAGAGGACAGGGTTGGCCCCGAAAGACACGACGTCCACTAACAGTAGCTATGTACGACATAGCATTTAGAAACTGTCAGGGCAGGTATATTTCGATGTACTCATGAGTAGGGGATTTTTGATGTAATTAAGTGAGGTTCTTCGCAGTCAGTTTCCAAATCACATAGTCGTCCACATGCCCGGAAAAGCACTAGACTGCAGTTTCAGCCTGTTGGGCATCATCAGTAGTGCGCATCCATCGGATCCATCAGGATTCGAACCCATGACCACCAACGGATTGAACCGCCAGTCAGCAGCTTATGCCACTGGGCCACGGGGGACAGCTTCGGACCGTCGTGATTTACAAGCTAACTGCGATATAGCGCGTCTTATCCTCCACTGCCATGCAAGTTACGAACGTTGCAGAGGACAGGGTTGGCCCCGAAAGACACGACGTCCACTAACAGTAGCTATGTACGACATAGCATTTAGAAACTGTCAGGGCAGGTATATTTCGATGTACTCATGAGTAGGGGATTTTTGATGTAATTAAGTGAGGTTCTTCGCAGTCAGTTTCCAAATCACATAGTCGTCCACATGCCCGGAAAAGCACTAGACTGCAGTTTCAGCCTGTTGGGCATCATCAGTAGTGCGCATCCATCGGATCCATCAGGATTCGAACCCATGACCACCAGCGGATTGAACCGCCAGTCAGCAGCTTATGCCACTGGGCCACGGGGGACAGCTTCGGACCGTCGTGATTTACAAGCTAACTGCGATATAGCGCGTCTTATCCTCCACTGCCATGCAAGTTACGAACGTTGCAGAGGACAGGGTTGGCCCCGAAAGACACGACGTCCACTAACAGTAGCTATGTACGACATAGCATTTAGAAACTGTCAGGGCAGGTATATTTCGATGTACTCATGAGTAGGGGATTTTTGATGTAATTAAGTGAGGTTCTTCGCAGTCAGTTTCCAAATCACATAGTCGTCCACATGCCCGGAAAAGCACTAGACTGCAGTTTCAGCCTGTTGGGCATCATCAGTAGTGCGCATCCATCGGATCCATCAGGATTCGAACCCATGACCACCAGCGGATTGAACCGCCAGTCAGCAGCTTATGCCACTGGGCCACGGGGGACAGCTTCGGACCGTCGTGATTTACAAGCTAACTGCGATATAGCGCGTCTTATCCTCCACTGCCATGCAAGTTACGAACGTTGCAGAGGACAGGGTTGGCCCCGAAAGACACGACGTCCACTAACAGTAGCTATGTACGACATAGCATTTAGAAACTGTCAGGGCAGGTATATTTCGATGTACTCATGAGTAGGGGATTTTTGATGTAATTAAGTGAGGTTCTTCGCAGTCAGTTTCCAAATCACATAGTCGTCCACATGCCCGGAAAAGCACTAGACTGCAGTTTCAGCCTGTTGGGCATCATCAGTAGTGCGCATCCATCGGATCCATCAGGATTCGAACCCATGACCACCAGCGGATTGAACCGCCAGTCAGCAGCTTATGCCACTGGGCCACGGGGGACAGCTTCGGACCGTCGTGATTTACAAGCTAACTGCGATATAGCGCGTCTTATCCTCCACTGCCATGCAAGTTACGAACGTTGCAGAGGACAGGGTTGGCCCCGAAAGACACGACGTCCACTAACAGTAGCTATGTACGACATAGCATTTAGAAACTGTCAGGGCAGGTATATTTCGATGTACTCATGAGTAGGGGATTTTTGATGTAATTAAGTGAGGTTCTTCGCAGTCAGTTTCCAAATCACATAGTCGTCCACATGCCCGGAAAAGCACTAGACTGCAGTTTCAGCCTGTTGGGCATCATCAGTAGTGCGCATCCATCGGATCCATCAGGATTCGAACCCATGACCACCAGCGGATTGAACCGCCAGTCAGCAGCTTATGCCACTGGGCCACGGGGGACAGCTTCGGACCGTCGTGATTTACAAGCTAACTGCGATATAGCGCGTCTTATCCTCCACTGCCATGCAAGTTACGAACGTTGCAGAGGACAGGGTTGGCCCCGAAAGACACGACGTCCACTAACAGTAGCTATGTACGACATAGCATTTAGAAACTGTCAGGGCAGGTATATTTCGATGTACTCATGAGTAGGGGATTTTTGATGTAATTAAGTGAGGTTCTTCGCAGTCAGTTTCCAAATCACATAGTCGTCCACATGCCCGGAAAAGCACTAGACTGCAGTTTCAGCCTGTTGGGCATCATCAGTAGTGCGCATCCATCGGATCCATCAGGATTCGAACCCATGACCACCAGCGGATTGAACCGCCAGTCAGCAGCTTATGCCACTGGGCCACGGGGGACAGCTTCGGACCGTCGTGATTTACAAGCTAACTGCGATATAGCGCGTCTTATCCTCCACTGCCATGCAAGTTACGAACGTTGCAGAGGACAGGGTTGGCCCCGAAAGACACGACGTCCACTAACAGTAGCTATGTACGACATAGCATTTAGAAACTGTCAGGGCAGGTATATTTCGATGTACTCATGAGTAGGGGATTTTTGATGTAATTAAGTGAGGTTCGTCGCAGTCAGTTTCCAAATCACATAGTCGTCCACATGCCCGGAAAAGCACTAGACTGCAGTTTCAGCCTGTTGGGCATCATCAGTAGTGCGCATCCATCGGATCCATCAGGATTCGAACCCATGACCACCAGCGGATTGAACCGCCAGTCAGCAGCTTATGCCACTGGGCCACGGGGGACAGCTTCGGACCGTCGTGATTTACAAGCTAACTGCGATATAGCGCGTCTTATCCTCCACTGCCATGCAAGTTACGAACGTTGCAGAGGACAGGGTTGGCCCCGAAAGACACGACGTCCACTAACAGTAGCTATGTACGACATAGCATTTAGAAACTGTCAGGGCAGGTATATTTCGATGTACTCATGAGTAGGGGATTTTTGATGTAATTAAGTGAGGTTCGTCGCAGTCAGTTTCCAAATCACATAGTCGTCCACATGCCCGGAAAAGCACTAGACTGCAGTTTCAGCCTGTTGGGCATCATCAGTAGTGCGCATCCATCGGATCCATCAGGATTCGAACCCATGACCACCAGCGGATTGAACCGCCAGTCAGCAGCTTATGCCACTGGGCCACGGGGGACAGCTTCGGACCGTCGTGATTTACAAGCTAACTGCGATATAGCGCGTCTTATCCTCCACTGCCATGCAAGTTACGAACGTTGCAGAGGACAGGGTTGGCCCCGAAAGACACGACGTCCACTAACAGTAGCTATGTACGACATAGCATTTAGAAACTGTCAGGGCAGGTATATTTCGATGTACTCATGAGTAGGGGATTTTTGATGTAATTAAGTGAGGTTCTTCGCAGTCAGTTTCCAAATCACATAGTCGTCCACATGCCCGGAAAAGCACTAGACTGCAGTTTCAGCCTGTTGGGCATCATCGTGGT